CAAAATATGGAAGTGAATTGGTTGCTTGGCACAAAACAGTTTCATGTTTTAGAATACAGATTTTTGTCAGTATTTCTCAAAAGATTTTGTTTTTGTCGATCTCTAAGCTTGAAAATGGATTTTAAAACCTTTCATTTAGTGGGATTGATACTAAGGCTTTTGTGTTTGTCGATGGAAATCTTGAGATCTTTTTTATTGCAATGGATTTTAAAATGTTTATTGGGATGCCAGTGTATCCGGAACTATAGGTAATATTAAAAGCAATGTCCGAAATCGATCCGCCAGTGCAACTGGATGATCGTTCAAACGCTCCAAGCAGAGATTATTTATTGTCGACTTCCTCTGAACCTGAATTCGATTATCCTCAGGTTATTGTTGTTCATTCGTATCATTTCCGTTTTTTTTCGAAACTGCCTTTCCTTAAACTGTTTTTATAAATAGTATAATTACGTAATTTGACTAGCGAACTTTTGTCAATTTAAATGGAAATTGTTCTAGGATTTTTTTCTTGTTTCTCTGTTTTTTTCAGGTTTTCTATGATCACGTTGCGAAGTGTTGGACCGACCGGGGAGTACAAGCTTGTTTTGAAAGAAGTAATGAATACCAGCTAATCGATTGTGCCAAATAGTGAGTTTTGTTCTTTGCCTTATGGCGACACTAAACCGTCATGTCTTAGACCCTGTAATTATTTTTTAGTTTATGCATCATTTTGATTTTAGTTTCCTGGACAAGGTTGAAGACATTCGGCAAAATGATTACAATCCATCCGAGCAGGTTGGTCAGGTCTTTTTAATGAATTTTTAGCTTTTTGCATTTTTTGATCTCTTCTTTTTGTATGTTTTTACTTTTCCAATTTTTTAACTCGAAACTTAGAACAGCGATTTAGGCGATTTCTTTACTGTGAAATCATATGATTACCTATTTTTTCCACAAAAGAGAATCATGAGCATTTCGATAAAATATTTGATATTTTTATATCAAAATTTCAGGATATACTACGTTGTCGTGTAATGACAACAGGTATCTTCGAAACGAAATTTGAAGTAGATAAAGTACGATTCCAGTAAGTTAAATTTTTGTTTTCTTTAATGGAATTTTTTTCCAATTTTTTTTTCTTTTTGTACTGCTGAAAATGAAGAAATTTGGGGAACTTATTCTTTGATGCGCAGTATTGTTTATACAGATATTAGTAAATATAAGTCTGTAAGTAATTAATATAACTTTAACGCAATATCTAATTAACTTTGGAATTTTTTAATAATACTACTAAAAAAGAAAGTAGTAGTGACTTGTAGATTTGGCACGATTTTTATAGGAATTTGGAGATTGTGAAAGAAGGTATTTAAGATCATTTTTTTTTCTCAATAATGTTTGACATTTTCTCAGTATGTTTGATGTTGGTGGGCAGCGAGATGAGCGTCGCAAATGGATTCAGTGCTTCAATGACGTAACAGCGATTATATTCGTCTGTGCCAGCTCATCCTACAATTTAGTGTTATGGGAAGATGCGACACAAAATCGACTTAAAGAATCCTTGTCACTGTTTAAAAATATTTGGAACAATCGATGGTTAAAAACAATATCTGTTATTTTATTCTTAAATAAACAGGTTTGTCGCATTTATTTTGTTCTTTTCTGTCTAAATCGAACAGAGAGGAGAAAAAGATGATTTTGATAAGAACTGCCAAAATCCCAAATAAAGAGAGACGATGGACAGGGAAAGTGAAAAATATTACCACGTGAAGAATTATTCATTCCTGTCTTAACCAGAGAAGTTAATTAGTTCATAAGGGATAGATATATGAAGTGGACACGATTAAAAACACACTATCTAGCCTCATATCTTCTGGAAAAAAAGTGAATCAAAAAATGTTCACAGGATTTGCTAACCGAGAAAATCAAATCAAGGCGACATCCGTTAAAAAGTTATTTCCCAGAATTCGCTAGTTACCAGTTACCTGCGGATGCCACCTATGATGCGTCAGATGATCTTGAAGTTGTCAAGGCAAAGTATTACATCAGGGGAGAATTTCTGGTAAGTTTCTTCAATGTTTTTAAGTCTCACTGCATTATTTCAAATCTCTTCGGCCTCTTCAAAAGATATGTGTTTCTAAACAGCAGTTATCATACAACTGCAAAAAAAAAAGATTGTGAAAACGAATTTCATGACAGTTGGAAAACTGGTGTTAATGTAAAAGGTTTTATGCCAGTTTGCATTTGAAACCATTTTGAGATAAATAACTCAGCTGTTTTCAGTATTTCGGGTGACCTCATATCTGACTCTGCTGTCATTTTCAGCGAATCTCGACAGCAGCCGGTGACGGGCGGCATCATTGCTATCCACACTTTACATGCGCCGTGGATACTGAAAATATTCGACGTGTATTTAACGACTGTAGGGATATTATTCAGCGTATACATTTGCGTCAGTATGAACTATTATAGGATATTGACTGATTTTTTCTCTCCTCTTTAATAAGCCTAGGCTAAGCGGGGCTGCTTTTTAATTTATGATATTTATTCAGACTATTTCTGACAATTTTTTAAAGTACTCACGTACTACTCCGAGTTTTCATGCGTAATCTGGTTTGTATGCATATATATGTATAGTGCACCTTTCATGTGCGTATGTCTAGTTTTAACGCTCTCTTTAATGATTGCTTTTGGTAGATTTAAGAAGCATCAAGTTATGGTCGAGTGAATGTTTATCACATTCCAAAGGTAATGACATCATGATGCTGGTGAGGATGCGCCATAAAATTGTTCGAATACTTGTATTGTTCAAATGTATACGGCAAAGCATAGACGCGGTGACTCGGACTCCTTGTCCATTTTTTTTTTGCTTGAAGAGAAATCTTGTGTTATTATTTGTTGCTTCTTTATATTCCTGCTTTTTTTTATTCCTATTGCTTCTTTGTATTAATGATAAGTTCGAATTTATGATTTTGTTTCGATTAGATTTTTTTTATTTTGTGATGCGAAGCCTCGCACTGCCTTTGGCGTTTTTTACGGGAAAACTTCGATATATATTGCAGTTGAACTTTGCTGTCGTCATCGTTATCATCGTCGAAATGTTAACTTATATTACTTCACTATGGGAAATATTAGTGATATCTTTTCTAAGTTTTCAGGTCTTGTTCACTTTTTTTATCCGATTCTCGTAATTAGGCACACAATTTTTGCTTGTACACAGTTACTTCCAAGAAGCATGGCAGTTTTTCTAGAAAGCTTGCAAGGTTTTAATTATTTATCGGTTTGCAGTAATTTTTATAGAGGACATTTCCGACATTTGAATTTTTCTCTTTGCACCAGGTATAGAACAGAGTTATGTAAAATGATGTGGAGTACAGTTCAAGCTTACTGTGATATTTAGATGTTTTTGTCTTCCAACTATTTTGATATTACGGCTGGTACTACGCTCTACAGCTAAGAAATGAATACATTATTAAAGTATCGCTTTTTTCATGAAATTTCCTTGCTGGTAAAGGAGTGGTAACGTCCATGAAATTTCATCAAATTCCTTCCGGAAACCTCACCAGCCATTTTACACTATCGCTCAACTTATTCATTTAAAATTTGGATTAGAGGTAAACTCTTTAATTTGGTTCACATTTCGTGTATTATCTGTATTTTTCATATTCTATCCACTTTTCTCTCGAAACAGAAAGTTACTGCAATATCTTTTTTTAAAAAATTTGTGTTTTTTTTACGCGGTCTCGTTATATCGTGCGTGCTCACATCTTAAGCGAATGCTTTAAAACTTTTATTACAAGGGAACGATGACTCAAAATAACACTCACTTAGTTAATAAAGGTAAAGAGAATGTGGGATGTTTGTCAAAGATGTTTTCTGACTAGGTTGGGGATTTGTGTTTTGAGCTCGTTTTCATGCAAGCTTCTTTAATAAAGCTGCTGCTCCATTTTCCTTACTTATTCTGTCATTTATCTACCACTTCCTCTCCTTTTTTACAAGCTTTCTTTATCTGGTGAAAATTTAGGATTTAAATTAATAGCTGAAAAGGGAACTTCAAGCAAAATTTTCTTAATATATTAGTTTTGCCTTTCGTTATCGACTTGTTTATAACAGCTCTTGTATTTATTCGAATCAAATTTTTTAGTTCGAGTACTCGAGATATTGCGAGATATAAGTGGTACCCTTCCTTTTTAATTATTGATTAACTTTCAATTTTAATTGATATCTTTCGGGATGATGAAGATCCAGGAAGCTGTTATAATGCAAATGAAACGATTGTTGGGATGCATCGGTGGTATTTTGCCATGGTTTGTTATTACGAATTATATTGTATTTGCTTAGGATGGTCACATACGACATTTGCGCTTTCTTCATCTTTTGAGGATTATTCGTAGTAGTATGGTTTATAATGTTCATGTGATTTCGTTCTAAAAGTACTCCTTTCGTTGTTCGCATTTGTCGCACGTGACGTTATTTTTATTTTTGCGATAACTTTTTTTAATATTACTGCTTATGTAGCAATTCGGGTAGTTCTTGTTGTAGAGATCAGTGGAAGGGCTAAGATTTCATATTTTACCTGTCATTTTTATATACCTGAACAGTATAGAATTTTCAATTGTAGAATTTGGAACGTTATGTTTCAGTTAAATACTTTTTAATCTGTATTAAAATCTCAGAAAGGTTCATCAAGCTCTATTTTTAATCATTTAACCAAGTTACCTTCTATATTGAAAGTTGAATGAGAGTGAGAAGAGAAATAAATTTTTAAAGTTGTTGCTTCTCTTGTTTCGTACTTTTATCATTGTATGTTAAATTTCATATTTTTATCAATTATTATCATTATTGTTTTGCTCTGTTAATATGAAGGAAATTGATGTTTTTTTAAAAGGAAAACATTATATTTGGATAAAATTGCTTCACTATATTTTACCCATCTCACATTTGAATAAGATCAATAACATACTGGTAAAAGCTTCATTCATCTCAGTTTTCACCACATCGTTATTTCCTGCACATCCGGGTAGAGATCAAAAAGAGTTTGTAATTTTCGTGGTTTGCGGAAATCCGTGCAACATTTTCTGATAGTTGAAGTAATGTTGTGAGAAGCATGAACTTAGACCTTCCGTTTTGCATTTAGCCTTTAATTTTTCAAGAAAAAGACTGGATGTGACGGGGTTTGATGAAAAAAGCGGAAATGAAGATTTGGAGCTGCTAATTCCATTTGTTTGCTTGATATGACATATTGTAGCAAGGAGGTTGAAGCTGTCAAAACTTCGAGGATTAGGATATGTAATTTGATTATTATAGGATGATAGAAGCTGGTCTTGATATCTGCATTTCTCCCTACCACAATGATGTATTTGTTCAAAAAGTCATTCCTAAAATGTGTATTGTTCATTTTTCATTCCGTAATGTGTACGGTGAGTAGGCAGTTTGATATCGGCAAAAGGATGTTTGTGCATGGACAGATGAGGTGTTATAGAAGGATGTATTAAATGCACTATTTGTAAGTAAAATTTAATTAGATCGATTGTCTCCTTGGTAACGCTCAACTGTTGCGGGTGTAATGATTAACGGAGCAAGCACTGTTTTCTAATTGCAAATGTCTGAATTATCCATCTTTCTGTTTCCGTCATTCGAATTCCATAGCTTTGCTTCATCAACTACGCTGTTCATTATTTCATGTTACCTCCTTCTTATGACATCTCCATTCATCTCTTCCATATTTTCCGTTTGCCTTTTTGTGCCACAAAAATTGAGTTATTCCATAAAATGAATGTTTACCCCAAAACGTGAATGTGCCATCATCCTGTGTATCTATCCCGAAACATGAAGTATTACCGCATGCCTGTATTATGCGTTCTTCCGTTATAATGGATATAAATGAATAATGTATCATTGAATGTGATGGTGACAAAGAAGTCGAGTGAATTTATTTTCTTTGTCTTTAGTTTCCAATTTTTTCACAATGTTTGAAAAATCTTTAAAAAAAAAAAAAAAAATGAGCAAATGCAGAGATAATGATCCCCTTCAAGACATATCATCGTTAGCGAGGAAAATTAGTTGATAAAAATGATTTGGATAAGAAGTAAACACGATCTCACTGATGATCGACCACCAACTTTGTTTGGCAACGAATTTGATAAGGATAGCTTCAAATCGATATCTCCATTAAGAGTAGAACTAAATTTTTGAAATATTTTGGATATTCACTTGAATCTGGCTGTTTCTTTTCTACAGGTCTATTCCATGATTCAAGAAATGAGAAATTCAGCTTTTTGAGGATTAACTGTAAACTCGCATCACACCATCCAAACTTGTCGAACTTTTCACAGACTGTTTTTGTTTGTGATATATCAATAATTAAACATTTTCATAAGGAAGGTGAGCTCAAATGATACTGGGGAAGGTTCAATAAAGTTTTATTGAAACTTTTTCACAAACAGAATGTTTATTGCATTTTCCCCATCAAAAATATTTCCGGAATATTTGAGGCATATACTTCCATCGCTGGCATTATGGGTTAGTTTATTCTGGAGAACTGATGGACAACCATTTCCGCATTACAAATACGGAAAGAAAGCTTCAATAAAGTTTCAGATGAATTTTTTCCCTATTGCTTGTGATTCTAAAAAATGTCTAGAACTTGAAAAATAGTCAACAACCGTGCACCACTAGTTTTATTTGTACCCAAATGTTTCAGTGTTAATAGCTGGTTCAGTAAATAACAGCAGACTAATTGCGATTTAAGAGTTAAACCTTAGCTGAAACTCGATTAATTGGATGAATCAATTTAAAATCAGTGAATAATTTACTTGCCTAAATTTAATCAAGTGTAATTTTACCGCCAACGCCAACGTAAAGTGAAATCATTTTAGTTTTCAACACTGTAACGAATTCCATAAAATAATTCAACACTATGGTAAGAAATCTTCATAATTAAATCGAATTTCCCAAATTAGTTTGGTATATTCAATAAAAATAAAAAAAGATATCAGGCTTAGATGTCATCAAATAGCATCTTAAATCGTAGATTCAAGCATTCAGTCTTTCACGCTAATTTTACAGCTCAACTAACAATTAAAAGTGGGGAAAAATGGGGTATTTGTAGAAATCATATAGAAATAATTCGTGTCCTAAGAGTTGAAGAAATTTGATGTTTACTGAGTGATAACCATTTCAAATAAATATTTGTTGCAGGAAGAATAAGATTTGGTTTGCCGATTGAAATAGGAGAGAAGGAAAGACTAACGCTGCGACCTGTTCTGGTCTTTTCAGTTCCGCCGCTTTGTTCGGCTCTCCTTTCCTCCGTGAAACAAATTGGATCAGCATCCTAATAAAAAGTCAAAGCTGACCAGGTGGAAGACTTGTGATTTTGTTGTTTATAGATTTTCAGCAACAGCAAATCCGAGCTCTCCACCCGGAGGCATTCTGGTAAACCTTACAAGTTGTTAGAATTTTACTTTATCCACTTGACATTTTAAATGTCAGTTTAGTTCAATTTTGTGATTCATTGTAGTAACAGAACATGGAAAATTAATTTCGGCACAACAAGGTGTTTCCTTTCCATCCTGCCTTCTTTAAATTGTTTAGTTGATCAATGAAATTCCATAAATTGCTTAAACTGTTACCTCTTCTCACACATCTCTCGCATATACCGCAGTGAAGACTTGTTCCACTAATATCATTACCTCACTTATTAGCTTATCTCCTTTTCTTAATTATTGACCCTTTCTCTTTGCAGTTGCTAAACTTAACGGTTCGGAGGCTTTATTACTTGACGCATTAAAAACTATAACTGTGTTGTTGGTGAACAATAATTTGACTAGCGAACTTATACGTCTTCCTCCCATATTCGTTGGGTAACCAAATCTAATTTGGAAAAATAAAATGTTTGCTGGTGCGTCATTAAAAACTATAACTGTGTTGCTGGTGAATAATGGAAATTGGTGAAATTAAAGGCATTTTACAGATGTCAATATTTAGTATAGCAAACAGACTTCCACAATTAATCTTATTAGGCCTTAAATTTAGACTTTGTTAAGCGCACTATTTTGCGCAAACTTGGATAAAATATTCATGACGTCCCATATTCCGAATCTTTTTGAATATAATTTTTGATAAGATTTCGGAATTTGGAATTAATGATGTAATCGAGCACATCGAAATCCTCGTCCATAAGACTAACGTGTATGACTGCACTATTGCATTCTTCCTTTCAACTTCTAAATTTTTGGACAGAGCTTTGAAAATATGGTAACAATTTTAAACAAACAGAAAGAGTGGCAGCAAAGATTGGATAATATATAAAAATGCAGGGTAAACCAATCAACATTATATTAATCTAACAAGCATAAAATGATCATCGTGTCATCCACTGGTGACAATTGGAAATCAATTTACGGACAAATTATTTATATTTTATGGGAAAACCATATATCAAACTAAAATATACAGAATCATGTAACATGCACCAGAAAGAGGACAAAAATTCCTTATCATTCAATTCCAAACCATTCCATGCAATTGCTTTGTCGTAATAATTATGGATTTTCAACAGCTCAAAAGAATGATCCTGTCTAGTTTTCCGTTTGGGTTCTTGTTGGAGATCACCATTATCGCACATAGAAGATGATTAAAAAAGTAAATATGCTCAACTTTTTAAATATTGAGTGAAGACTCTTTATGATAATAGGGCTCTGTCATTATAGCTTCTTAATTTGCGTACCACTACTCTTAACAGCGACCTCCTTCTTTTCACTTTGCTTTACATACATCCTAACACTATAAAATATATATCCTAACACTATAAAAAGATTTACATTTTGGAAAATTCATTCTTTTCTTCATCGCAGGTCTAAGTCAAAGGTGAAGTATCCAACAAGTTTTATATCTCTCAGTGTAAGATAAATTACAAGTAAACAGAAAACTACTACTATGCATAGCTGGTTTTCAATTTTGAGCACACACAGGCGGGTCGACAGTTGGTAGCGCGTCGTCGTCTTGGCGTGACACGTTCAGCAGGGGATGATTCACTGGTTGAATAATGTACAGTGATTAAATTTTCTAACGTTTCCAACATTTCTTCCATGTGTTCGATTTGTTGCTGAGTGATGCATGGCTCACCGTTCGGAAACGTACGCTCAAGCGCAGCGCAGCGTCGCATTTCAACCACGCATGCATTTACACAACCAATAAACTGCGATGCATGCCGCGTAAATTCAACACCTGCAATACAGTTTAGGTAAAATTGCTCAAGTTTTATGCTGGTTAATTGATAACCTTCTGTAAATTTGCCAAACTAAATTAAGAATCAAGAACTTGATCACACAGAATCAACACAACTCTAAGCATCAATGCAACATAATGCTGCTATACAGACGTCTCATGAAAAGATTTAAAATAATTTCATTTTAAGGTTCTAATAATTTACCTTTTGAACGCAAATCTGATTGACGAAATTTGGCCAGTTAAAAAAAAAGTCTTTAATACAAGTTAAGCCATATAGCTCATCTGGGATCATAAGAGAATGAGGTAAAAGGAAGTGATCATTCGATAAAAGCCTTAATAATATAATCAGCTCGGATTTTTTCCCAACAAACTTCTTAAATCGCACTTACTTTCATGACGAAGCTGAGGCAGAATGCAACTTTTGGCGGCTTCACAGGCTCTAATGCATGCTCGACCAAACAAGTCAACATCATTGCGAAGTTGAAATCCATCTTGGCCAGTCCCAATGCACTGGACTACATTTCGAAACTGCGCCAGTTGTACATTAGAGTCATGTACTAACTTAAATACGAAGATGGACTGGTTATAGGTGCAGTATCAACGAGATGATTCCATTCTTATCAGTTTGTGATGCACACACTTCTCGAAAAATACTTTCTCTAGCTAATCGTTTATTAACCGCACTAATACGTTTCTTAGCCATAATCAGTAGTGACTCATATTACTGTAACTTCCACTCAGTTATTTATTTTTTGACACTACTACTCCCTATCAGTACTAATTATCATAACAGTGACAAATAATGACGAAAGGAAGGATGATCACCTCTTGCAGCTTCCTCACACTTGAAAGAGAATGTTGCCGCAGCTTGGAGCCCATTCAATGTCCCAAGCAATAGCTGGCACTGCTGCCACTACTGCGGCTGCTGCTGCTGCTGTGCTGATGTTTGCGAATCATTGAGCTTATCGATCGTCAAAGAAAGCATTCGAGTATCTTGGCAGTAGCATCAGCAATAGCATCATCCTTCCTCAGCGAAATCCTGAAAGCAATTGTTCCAGGTGACTTACCTCCTCATATCACTCCTCGTGTGACCTCTGCATCTGTCCATCCTCATCATCATGCAGCATATGCATGGGTGTATGTGCCTTGTAACAATATCACCTCGGGCTAGGCCTGGAAATTGACCAGTGATTCAGGTGCAAGCATTGTGTTCTAGGAGTTTTTGCAGCACTCGCTATGGCAGTAAAACGTCCCCTACTCAATGTTTGGCACATTTTCTTGCTGGCCAATCAACGTTTTCATCGGCACTCGCCCTTCCACTAATTCCATTACTATTCAGTGTATGTATCACTCTCTATTTTAATCAGAATTTAAAAAAAAGAACTCCAAGAATGCGTCTCCAACGATTTAAAGTTTAGAAAAAAGTAAACTCAGCAGAGGATTTAATCCACCAGACTTAAAAAATTAACATATGATAATCCCATTTCCAATTAATATTTCGGAAGAAGTGTGATTATAAAAGTTGACGATTAAATATTTAGAATCCTTTTAACAGATGGCATGATACTTGAAACAGAATGATCAATGATGGCTATCTTTAAGGCTGTCTATGCAAGTCATCCAAGTATTGTAAAACTTTACTAAAATGCACTCAGAAACAGAAAACCAGTGAAATATACAAATGAAAATTCGGAAAAGTGACATAGAATTTCAATGGACAACAGTATGCAAGGTTCAATAATGGAATTAGTCCTGAATTCTAAGGAATGATATCTGTGCTACGAACTGAAAATGAATGAATTCCTTCCTAGCAAAAGATATTTTGGAGTCCATGCCTTTAAGGTAAAATATATCATACCATGGGCACTTCCCATGAACCTTCAAGAAAAATGCCGTTGGCGTACTGATGATCTTTGAATGAACCAGAAAAACGAAAAAGAAATAAAGGCTTACAAGACAAAAAGGAGGCATTTTTTTTAGTCCAAATATTCTTGTTTGTATTTCTTAAAAGCATATGATTATTGAGAAGGCCAAAAAAAACTCTAATATATGTGTACTATTTTTTTTCATTTCTTTTCTGATTCGTTCATAAATATCTTCTTCATAAAGCATATTAGATCCTAAAGGTAATTAATTTGACAAGATCTCTGATATAATTACTCATAAAAACGTTGAAAACAATTAGCATTTCTATAAAACATCTGAACTTATAAACGATTGACCCTCAGTCTTCGATGTAGATGTCGTCATCATGACAACTATTACTGCTGTTATCATCATCATTATTACCACCGTAATCACTTTCAACATTATCATCGTCATCCGAATATTTGAAAAATACAGCTTGTTCCACATCCTCAGGAACACCTTTTGCGGGTAGCTCAAAGTGTGGGCCCCATAAAAGTGGAATTAAGGGTTTGTTAAACCTTTTCGATTTTTGTTCCAAATTATGCTCCCATTCATTCGCCTGAAATTACCGATATAGTTGAGATGTAAAATCATAAGCTAATTTCCAATTTAAGCTGTTGCTCATGTCGAGATTTGAAAACTGACTGCCTTTAACAAGGTGACAATCGAATCCTTATTCAAAAGACTGATAGAATTAGAGTTCTTGAACATTAAAGTTGGATAAGCAGATTTTGTCATTTCTCTGCTATTCGTAATAAGTTCATGGCTTATTCAGTATGGATTTCAAAAGCCATCAGAATTTTTGAAATCCATGCCGCAGACTGCACTGCTGAAGCAAAATCTGGCTACAACCATGCATCTTCTAACATTTATGTGTACATCGACAACAACAAAAATAAAGAAGAATAGTTTAAACCACAGAAAACTTACACTAATTTTTTGTTTACAAATGACTTACACCTTCCCACGGTTAACTCTTTTCCCTTCCCATGCCCAATCATAAAACAAAGCACGACATTATTCATGCATATATATATATATATATATATACTATATTATTTGCAACCTACAATCAAAGAAGATTAAGATGATTTGAATCATAACACTTAATAACTGGCAATCTGAAATCTTGTAAAATTGCAACTAGCAAAGTTAATGACAAAAGCAGATAATTCAAAGATGCATAATTCTGTATCAAACAGCTTCATTGAAAAATCCAAATTCAATGAATTTACCACAGCTCGGAGACGTTCTGCACGTTTACTAGAGTCTTCACGAGGTTCAAGACGATCTTGTTCATCTTCACCCTCACCTTCTGATAAATATCCGTGCTGTACAATAAAACTATCACTATCGCTCGAATGATCGGAATCCTGAAATCTAAAACATCAGGATTCTTGGAATTCACTAGCAGGAAATTTATCGTGCGTTCCAAGTGAATGAAAACTTCAAAAGGACTGTTACGACTCAGTGAAATAATGCTTTCAAATACCAGCGCTTTACCCACAGTAACCATAAGCATCTTTCAATAATAAATAAATCTAACAGTTCGACAATGTTCCTGGCAACTACAAACATATAGTTACATCCTCAAAAATTTTTTCTTAAGCTTTGCAAACATCCATTAACTAACAATCCTTAATTTGAAAAACACCTAAAAACACAACCTCCTCCTCATCTTCACTCACTGTGCTTTCATCGCAATCATCACCTTCTGGAATTTCCCACTCCTCGTCCGAATCCACTTCATAGTCTAATACCTACAAAACAAAGCGAATTTGAGATTTGCGCCTATAAGGATTTACCAATTTCAAGATGAATAATCCGGAAATTACTAAGTCAATCTCTGTTAATCCAGATACCTTCGTATCCTTGGCGAAAGGTCTTCTGCCAGTTATAATAGTGCTTCGTTTTCTCCATGTTCCGTAATAAGGAGGCCTCCAATTATCGTGAAATTGAAACAATTTGGCTCGATTTAGCTTTCTGAAAAAAATCCGTCAACATGTGATTTGCCTCTAGATTTCGGAACAGAAATATAAAAATTGCTGACACCCTTACTTTACACAAAATATAACTAGATACGCGGAATCTCACGTAGTATTTTTCGGTACAAGAATAATGCTGAAAGAACAATGGCGAAACATGGCTTTAGATAAGCCAGCGTACTGTATGCTAACCAACCGAATTAAGCCTGTCAATGAATTATTTCGTTTAATCCCAGCCTTTTAACTGCTATATAGCACTTCGTACTGTCTAGCACATATGGACGACAGATTTGCCGTTTAAAATTCTTTTTTTCATCGTCAGTTACGCCACAATAATACAGATTAAGACCTAAAAGAAAACAATACAAAACAAGAAAAACAAAGGAAAACTAACACTTTCTCAGTTTTACGAGGTTTAACAGTTGACAGATACGGCCTTTCCTGCAACTGATCAATTAACAACAATTTGTTAGCCAACTAAAAGTAATTGAGTAGTTATGCATTAGGAAACTTTAAATCTTAAAATTTTCCTGTAAAATAACACAAAATGAAGCAATGGTCATGTTTAGAACATACAACTGGCCGTATTTCCATCAACAAACTGTCATGAACTTCTTTTGGTAATGGTCTCCGTCGAAACATCGGTGCAAGTGACACTCCTTGTTTGCAAAAAAACGGTAAGATATTAAGCACTGATGCCGTTTGCACTGCATCAGAATCTTTTTCTGTCTTTCGTTTCTTATCAAAAAATGAAAGAAAACGATCCGATTCGCGTTTCTTCTTGAGCTGTACCGCCTGAAATAAAAGCGAGTTATATATATATATATGTATATATATATATGACAGTTGTTCGGTGCATTTATACAAAACCACTTCTTCAACCGAACCTCTTCCTCTTTCCTTCTCTTTTCGCGTCTCTCTTCTTCTTCTTTTCGCTTCTTTTTACGTTCCTCCTCTTCTTTCTCCTTTTTTTGTTTTCTAATTTCTTCTTCTATTCTTCGTCGCTCTTTTTTTTCTTCTTCCTCTTTTTTCCTCTGTTCCTTCCTCTGCAGATCCTTTCTGCGCTTTTTTTGCTTTGCTTCTTCTTGTTCTTTTTTTAGCCTTTCCCTTGCCCTGCAATTTTCAAACTTTATAGTTCGAGGTTCTTTCCGCAAGTGAATGTTTAAGCTGTTAATACTTAATGGCTGTAAAAGAACCGGAAAGGTCAATGAGAAAATGATACTTCTGCGCCTCTTCTTTTTTCCGCCTTTTCTCTCCTACAGCAGCTTCGCGGTTTTTCTGAAAGTGTACAAAAGTTGAAAACATTGCACAATGGCTGTAAACAGTTTTAAATACAGAAAGAAAAAAGATTTCTGTCACAGCCATTTTTTTTTTTCACTGGACTGAATTATTTCCTAGTCTGTGATTCGAAAAGTTCAGTTTCAACAAAAATTTATTTCTTTGGAAAGAATTATTTTTGGAAGGAGAAAGTATAAGCATAAAACAAGCAAGTGCCATCAGCCGATCATCTCCGCTCAAAGGGTTAGAATTTATGAAAAAACTTCGAAAAAACTACTTTAATTTTAATTCTAGTTTTAAATTTATTTAGGAATTTTTAGCGAATAATCCTCCGCAAAGATCTGATAACAACGTCACCATCATTTCTGTGGCAATCCTCCTTCGTCCTCTCATCCTTTTTTCTTGTTCAGTCAATTGCTTTACCTTTATTTTTTGATATCTGTGAGCAGATACATTTCCATATGCCTCGTTTTTGCTAGAGTCTGTATCACTTATTTCAAATACCTATAATAACAGAAAAAACCTATAATATATAGAAAATAAAACAATTTAACACCTATAATATCAAGAGAAAATATGAGGATACTTTAACCTACGAAACCAAAATAAAAAGCTTTAAAAGAAATTTTTATAGTGTTTGCTGAAGTTCACATGCTTGATCTTGCTATAATTTTTAAATTCTCTGGAAAATCCTGAAAGTCCATACCTCATCAACAGCATATTTTTTACGTCTAGACAAAGCTTTCCGATGATCGACCTGAAAACTCCATCTTCATGAAATGATATTGCATATTTATATGAGTCATTACAAAAGAAGTTCTCATTTCCAAATTAGATTTGGTTACCAATGAGTTTTTCCGAAAAGATAAACGCAAATTACCGATAGCTTAATTGGTAAACGGAATGACTAGGTGATATCAAAATAAACTCAGCTGCACTTAATTACTGAAGGTTAGGTCAGTAGGGCAGTAGGAGGCACACTTCACAACATGTATCTCATTTCTTTAAAATTTTTTGGGAAACGTGATATAAGAGTAATTATTTGCCCATGCTTACAATATAGGCAACAGCTTCGACTACTTCGCGAACAAAGTCTTCAACTTCAGAGGCGATTACTGCATTGCTGTATCGTTGTGGTTTTCTGCCAAAACATCGTTTCGCTGAGTATTTCTTCACTTCAGTTCCCTTATTTTCTTTATTGTCTTCGTTTTTATCCATACTGCAATTATCGAATCCCTTCCAGGATGAAAGAGTTTAGAAGTGGATTCATAAATATTCGAGATAAGATGCACCACATTCATAAGAAACACACATACACACACACACATACACACACACACATACACACACATACGCACATACACATAAGAACTGAAGTTCAGAGTGAGAAATGAAAGATTAACGTAATGTAAGGACAAGGATACCCATCCACCATCAAAAAGATCTCGAGAGATATACCTGCCTCACCATATACTGAAAAGTGCCTCCACCTTTAAATTTGAATCTTTCTCGCAGCTGGACCATCCAGCCGAAGTCGCGTTATGCAAATGTTGATCCATCTGCGGATAGTACTTAGTGGTGGGTATAAATATTTTATTGGTTGTTAAGGGGATGTTTCACTTTACTTTCTTGTCTCTTAGATAGTTAATCACATTAATGGTTTCAATGACAGTCACCATTGTGCTTTTCCAAATTCTATCCAGGTTTGTTGTACTTTGGAAATATGCATATAGAGAGCGGTAAGCTAGCCGTATCATAAATACTACTGATGGTATATCAATACATTACTAGGAATAAAAGAAGCAGTTAGTTCACAAAAAGCTAGCAGGTAGCTCACTTCCTTGCTACCAACTTCCTCACCCACTGTACCTATAAGTCGACATAACACAACAGCCGCTTCATATTCTCCCAGCTCCTCTTATTTCGAAGAGCATGGCAACGCTACTCCCATCATATACATCGATATAAAACTAACGCTGTGATTGCTTTCCTATTTCGGAACTTCTTCTTCATGATGAATGATCTCTGGTTCAAATCAGGTGGACTTTCATGTCACTGAATACAGATCATTCGAGAAACGCATAATAGGCCCATATATATGCTAAGTGTAATGTCCTTTTGAGAAGTAGGGAGTAACGCATCGCATACCTTACATAACGTGTAATAGAGCCTAATTGAAAGTTACCCTTTTGTAATCCTCAGCTATTTAGGCTTTAGGCTAAAGACGTTCATTTTGTTCTTTTTCCTTCAGAATTATTTCTAAAATTAGAGAAGCTGAAACTATTTTTTATTCCAACCACATCTATATATATATATATATATATATATATATATATATATATATATATATAT